GAGCACCTACTTCAGCCCGTTTCAGTCAGTCAGGGTCAGGTCATGGACACTTTCATTTCAGAAAGGGCTCTCAGTGCTTTTAGCAGGGCTGTTGTTAACCCAGAGACAGACATCAGTGGGCCAAACGCCTGGAAGAAGCAGAAGGGTCCCCAGTGAACTGTTCTGAAGACCTCCCAAAACTGAAATCTATTTGTTCTTATGCAGCTGTACTAAGGACAGCCTGCCAGAGAAAAGAGGTGGCGAAGGGCTGCACATGTAAACACAATTCTGCGTCCACAAACACCATGATTTATTGTTTTATGATGATGATACCTCAAGGACCCTGGGATTCACCCTACAGTCTTCCGTCTTCATGCCCTTCAAGCCATGCGTGATGACGCCGAGGCCGTAGAGCTGCTCTCTGCTCATTTGCCTGCTCTCCCTCATCCCTGTCCTGGTTTCAGCTGGGACAGAGCTCATTTTCTTCCCAGTAGCTGGCATGGTGCTGTGGTTTGGATTTCTCATGAGAACAATGTTGATAACTCCCCGACGGCTCAGTTGGTGCTGAGCAGGGCTTACACCAGGCAAGGACTGCTCTGCCAGGGGCACAGGGAGCGGGGAGGGGGCCCAGCCGGGACAGCCGACCCCAACTGGCCCCAGGGCTATTCCAGACCATAGGGTGTCACGCCCAGTAGAGAAACTGGGGGAAGGAGGATGGGGAACCTGGGGAGCAATGGTGTTTGTCTCCCCAGGTAACCGCTATGCATGATGGAGCCCTGCATTCCCGTTCCCGCAGCAGGGAAATGAATGCCTTACACGGAACTGATGCTGTGATGCAACCCAGGGCATCGGCAGCACGCCGGCAAAATGAGTCAGCGACCGGTCACGGTGAGACAGAGCCACTCAAGGAGGATGGGAAGGGCTTTGCATGCAGAAGTGTCCACACCAAGACTGCCATACAGCCATTTGCTAAACACACGGCGTTCTCGGCTGCCCAGCCAAACCAGTACCTTCACTGCATCGCCTGCTTTATCTTAAGCTGAAGCAGCAGGAGGAGGACTCCACTCCTCACTGCCCTGGGAAGGAGATGGCCGAGTGCGAAGCTCGGGACAGGCGCACGGTGACTCACAGCACGCGGTTCGCTGCACTCTCCCGCAGGGGATGCAGAGAGCAGAGGGCGCTTGCCCAGCCACGGCAGCCCCCCCCAGCCGGCTGCAGGCAGGATCAGCGCCAGCGAGCACGCCAGGGTCCCGAAGTGACGCAGAGCGCGCCGGCACAGGCAAACTACCTTCAGCAGGGAAGGAGCACCGCCGAGCCCCCGGAGCCCCTGCCCGTACGCGCTGGGAGCAGAACCCGCCTCACACCCCGGGCGCAACGCCCTTCCCTTGGCAAATGCTGATCTCATCTGCCGTTGACACCTTAAGGGTCAAAAGACCCCAGATGTAAGCGGCTTATATGCATAAGATTTAGGCCTTATTGTCTAATTTGCTGTTGCTTTGCTAAAATCAGTAGTGTCTAGTTTGGATGCTTTTCTAAAGTCTGCAGTATAGTTAGTTAGTGAATTTTGAACCCTCTT